TAGCTGGTACGGTATTTTGGGATGCAATTCGTTTTAAAACTTTTATATAGATCGTTTCCACTACTATACAACATTATATATTACAGAACATCTATAAACACTAAGTCAGTTATCATTTATCTTATAGTTGTGCTTGATTTTCTATTATCTAAAATAATATATAATTATAAATCTATATACATGTAGTCAATTAATATATATTTTATATTTGTGCTACATGTTCCAAAATAAATTGATTTAGAGTTAGTATTACAATTTGAGATCGTCTATTTTGGTGATCTGGATCGCGAACCCACTCTATTTGAGATCAATGTACCTAGATCGTGGCTCATTAGGGGTTGAGGGAATTGTGATAATCATGATTAGGAATATGTTAGCATAGATGTCACATTTTTGTGAGACCAAACCCTACTTTGTTTTATCTCGTCCTCTCTTTAGGGGGAGCCTAATAATCAGGAAGAGAGGCAACAAGAGAAGCACTCATTTTTTTCTCCCTTTATTAAGAGATTGTTTGTGGTGATGTGATGAAGGGGGGGGGGGGGGAAGACAAGTGTACTAAAGAAGGACATAATACTACTGGATGGTTGCATCGACTTCATCTTTAGACTTATTTTTGGCGTCCAAAAGCGTAGACCATCCATGTGTTATCAAGTCAATTGTCATCCCCAACTCCAGTTTCCGATTCTCCCACAAAGGCTTCAAAAGATGAGTCTCCATCTCCTATTGCTATAAATATTGATGATTGTTCTCTTCCTATTGCTTTTAGAAAGGGTATGAGATCTTATACTTAACATCCCATATCTAAGTTTATTTCTTATAACTCCTTGTCTTCTTTGAATTATGTCTTTGTTTTGTCTTTATCTTCTACATCTATTCCACTGCATTGGAAGGAAGCTCTTGTAGATCCTAAGTAGAAAGAAACTATGGTAGAGGAAATGAAAGTTCCAAGCAAGAATGACACTTGAGAATTAGTTTCACTTCTAGCTGGGAAGAAACCTGTAGATTATAAGTGGGTCTTTACTGTTAAAAAGAAGGCAGATGGAACAGTTGAAAAATATAAAACATGGATGGTTGCCAAAAGTTTTACTCAGACTTAATGACATTGACTACTAGGAGACCTTTGTCCCAGTTGCAAAAATGAATTCTATTCACACTCTGTTTTCTTGTGCAGCTAATCTGGTTTGGCCCTTACAACAACTAGATGTGAAAAATGTATTCCTTCATGGTGACTTGACAGAAGAGGTTTATATGGATATTACACCATGTTTTTCTTCTCATTCTACTGTTGGAAAGGTTTAGTGGTTAAGGAAATCACTTTATGCTTGAAACAAGCTCCTAGAGCTTGGTTAGGGCGATTTCTTAAAGCAATGCTGGAATTTGGATACAAGGAAAGTAATGCAGACCACACACACTATGTTATAAAACATAGTGGTAATAAGATTATTGTTCTTATTAGAGGTGCAACTTGGGCAGGTTGGGAACCCTAGCCCAACCCTACACAGAAAATCTTCAACCCGAACCCGACCTTAACCTGAGGTATTCAACTCAAGTACTGCCCAAGTTAAATTCGGGTGGGCTCAGGTTGAATTCGAATTTTTTAATTCGGGCTAATTTCGGGGTTTGAATTCGGGTTACAAATCAGACCAAAGAAAATTATACAACTCAATCAGAACATAACATAAAGAAATTAAACCAAAAAGTCCAAAATACCATAGCCACCGCCACTACCACCACAACCACTGCCTATATCCACCACAACCCTGCCCATCACCACCATAGCCATTACCTAAACAACCACCACGCCACTTCCCACACACCCACCACACACCACACCATAGCCACTGTCACCAGAACTGACTATCTGAGAGTCGTTGTGGTCTTCGGTGCCATAGCCACCAGAACTGACCATTCACCATCGTTGTTATCTTCGACGCATATCAAGGTTCAGAGAGAATGAAAGGGAAGCCGAGAGAAAGTAACGGAGAGGCTGAGAGATGGAGAGAGGTAGAGAATAAGGGAGAGAACGAGAGAGTCAAAGAGACGCATGAGAGGGTAGAGAGCGAAAACCCTAGTGGCTAATACTTTATATATTTGTCAAGTTTGGGTTGAACCTGATAACAAGAGGATTCAACTCGGGTGTTGCTTGAATTCAACTCGAATGTTGCCCAACCCAAAATTTTAAAACTTCAACCTAAGCCCTATTTTTTTTGGGTTGGACTCGGGTTGGCCCACCCAAGTTGCGACCCTAGTTCTTATTTCTTGTGTGAATGACATATTGATTACAAACAAGGATGTGAGGGAGATGTCTCACCTAAAATTACGACTGACAATGGAGTTTAAGATCAAAGACTTAGGTCTATTGAAATACTTTCTAGGGATTGAGGTGGCTAGATCTGATAACGGCATCTATATATCTTAGAGGAAGTACGTTCTTGTCCTACTTGAGGGGATTGGTATGTTGGGATGTAGACTTGTAGATAGACCAATTAAGGCTAACCATAGGCTGGGAAGTGGCAAAAGGGACCAATAAAGAAAGATAGCAACGTCTAGTAGGGAGATTGATATACTTATCTCACACTCGGCAAGATATTGCTTATACAGTGGGAGTTTTTAGTCAATTTATGTATGATCTTCGTACAGTGCATCTAGACGCTACACACAAAATTCTAAAATATCTAAAGTCTGCTCCAGGAAAAGGCATATTGTTCTTTAACCATGGCCACTTGAGGTTATAGGCATTTAGTGATGCTGATTGGACAAGTTTAGTTGATGATAGGAGATCTATCTTTGGATATTACACCTTTATAAGAGGGAATCTGGTTACTTGACGCAGTAAAAAAAATAAACTATGGTGGCCAAATCCAGTGCTAAAGCAGAGTATAGAGCTATGACTCGTGGCATTTGTGAACTAATACGGTTTCAAGGTTTGATACAAGACCCAAGAATTTCAATGGATAGGCCTACGAAGTTGTATTGTGACAATAACGTTGCTATTAATATTGTTCATAATCTAGTTCAACATAACAGAACCAAACATATTGAGATTGATAGACATTTCATAAAGAGAAACTAAATAAGGGGTAAGGGTAACCTGTATACTTTTTATGAAATCAGGAGATCAATTTACATATGTTTTCACTAAAGGATTTGGTAGTAAGATTTTTCATCCCATTTTTTGTAAGTTGGCATGAAAAATATTTATGCTCCAACTTAAGGGTGAGTGTTAAGAGATGTCTTATATGCCATGAGGGGTATTTATATACTTTGAGACTTATTATTATAAATACATGGGGCTGAGGGAGATAATCCTAATCTGATCCTTGGGGCTTTCTCTCAACAACCACCACATTCTCAATACTCTCTTCCTCTCTACATCTTCTCCTTGTTTCTGTTTTCATATTCTAACAGAAACAAATACTTTAATTTCTTATTCAGTTGCTTTGTACATATTGTTTCGCTTCCTAATATCCTTAAAGTCACTATTCTTCTTCTTCCTTTTTTTAAACTATGGATTGATATTAAGTTGCATTCCCAATGTTTATGGTATAGGAAGAATATTGGTAAGAGTACGATATAATAAGGATACTACGATATGGAAAAATCTACAAAAAAGGATACATATATGGAAGGATGCACTAATAATATGCATAGGATATCATATTATAAGGTAAAATTTAATACAGAGGAATTAGAAAGATATATATAGTTGAAAATTTATTGATGCAAGCAAACCTATTTTATATTGCTACAAATAGTATCTGATACACTAAAGAAATCCATAGTTTATAATTGGCCGAAATATATTAGAAACTTAATTACTAAAGTATTTCAATGGACTACTCATCTAAAACACTAAACATCTAACAAATTGACACAAGACATTCAAATCAGTCTCTTGCTTTCACTTTCTTGATGAGTCACGCAATGTGTCCTAAATTTATCAGTGGTTTATCCTCTGATATATTCCAATGTATAGGGAATTATTGAATATTTATAATATATCCGAAACATACCCGGCCATCGAATACGAATACTCGAGCATTCGTGAAGTATCTCTGCGTCATAGTATATGGTGCATGGTTGTGCATGTACGTGCAAGATAACAACTTTTTTTCTCAATCAAAGATGCAAAAGATCGATTAAAAGTAGGCTCTTTCTTGTTGAGGGTCGGTACCGGTTCGAGGGTGCCTAAAAGCATATGTGCCATGTTGCTAGTTTCCTAACATATAAGCTGTCCCAAATTTATACTTTGGCAAAGAGGTGCATTTAACATTTTCAATGAGCAACAATTGGTCTCACGTTGGATAGTCTAGCAAAGTGGCAAACCCAATTGGAATGACCAACAAATATGACATCAAATACTTCTTTAGTGCCCCATGAATTGGTTGCCACATAAGTTTGAGTTTCAAGTTGGCAAGATTATTCATGTAAAGGGAGGTACGATTTTCAAAACATAACTAGTGGTCTAGCCAAATGACCTTTCAGTTCAACCACAAGTAGCAATACGAACCATATAAGGAAATAGCCCAAATAATGTAGATGGTATTACAAAACTGGCACGCTTAATCCTTTTTAAGCCTTAGCCATTGGGAGCCACGTCATAGATACTGACAGGACAAGTTGTCGGGCACTTCCAGAAAATTCTCAAACGATGGCTGATTTGAGCACATCAGGGGCATCGAGCAAGCAATCATATATCAAATATGGACTGAGCCTTGAAACTAACAGTTTCTCACCCACTCAGAATATTTATAGAAAAATGCAATTGTCTTGAGAAAAGAACAACCAGAAACTTTATGTGTGGTTTCTCTCTTTTCTCTTCTTCCTTTTTGTTTTTGGGGTTTTAAGACCATGCAATCTAAATATAGCCAGCATCATAACAGCTATGTTTCACCTTTCCTCCTTAAACGAATTAGAAAACTTACTATGATACAAAAAAAAAATTTCACTCTAAAATAAGAAAAATATCATCTAAAATGTATGAATTTGAGAATCAGAATTCAAAAGAAGACTGTCATACCATTTCCACTATTGGATTGAGATTGATCTCCTGAACTTGAAATAAAGATGCCCTTCAATATGGAAAAAATATTTATAAAAAATGGTAGAAGTATCAGTGCTGGAACTTGAAAAGTGAAGAAAAAAGAAATAAGTAAATCCAACCTGCTGCCGAGCTCGTTGGAGTTCCTGTTCAAGTTGGGTCAGCTTCATTCTGCTGCTCTCTAACTGTTGGACATAAGCCTAAATAACAAGAAAAGGAAGACAAAACTCAATGAATCATACAATGACATGATCTGTATACAAGCACAAAATCATGCAATTCAAGATGAAAATATATGTGCGTGCATGTTTAAGTTGTGTTACGTCATGTCATCTTTTTAGTGAAGCAAAAAGTAATGGGTCAAGGGCCACAACATGGACAAACATTCCATGTTCATCTGATTTAAACAATATCTGACGATATTTTTGAGCCACAAAAATTTATATTTTGTACAGATTCATTTTTATTATATTATCAACAGCCAGAAAGGTAAATATCATAATAGATTTTAAGATTGACATGGATAACTTTTCGTACAGGAGCTCGTATGGTAAGTCGCATGATAGCATTTACATTGATGAATGGTCCCTTACAGGGCAAGGAGATAGTAGCCAACAGGAGGATCTAACGCATTATTGTAATCCTCGGTTGCCTGGAGCATTATTTGGTAAAGCTACGAAGATTTACATTCTAGAGCCCTTAATACCTCCAAATACAAATATATCACTAAATTCAAATATCACAGAAATTTTATCAATATTTGACAATCTCTAATTCTTCAACTAGTCCAATCTGGTTTTTTCCCCCAAATCAGCCCACCGAGAGGATTTTTTGTTTTTGTTTTTTTTTTTTGGGGTGGGGGGCTGATTAGCCCAGTAAGCAAAACTATGAACTATATCAAAGCAGTACATGTAATCAGCATTTTAACTGAACATACAAAAATGGAATTGAAAATCAATCACAACAAATGTGACAAGTGAGCTGAACAGAACATAATCAACATTTCAATAACAAATCGCAATCTCATACCAACCCCATCTCAGTAATATGACTAGTGACACCCAACCTCACTTCACCTCATTCACGATAATTAGAATGAATACTCTTTTAAAAAGAGATCTAAGTGGAAGCACATAATGAATAATCCCACTTCGGATGTTCCTAGTTAATATCAATATAAGCTAGCCTCAAGGTGTCGAGAAAAATATTTTTCAATTTCATGAAAATGGATTTAATCTCATCACTTGATTCTCGGACAATTTCTTTACTATCGTCCCTTAAATTTTCCTCCCTATTTTCCGCCATTTTCTTTCCTTGACTGGATGTACTTTTTCCCTTATCTTCTCGATTCTCTTTCTTTTCTTTCTTCCTTTCCTTATTGTTGTCACACACACACACACACTTATGGTATTCACCAACCCAACTCCAACACACCAACACATCCAAACATCCTTTTTTCTTTTGTAATTACATTTAGTCTTGTATCACATATCTACGTGTGCCAATTATAAGACTAGGACAAATACATCACACCCATCAACTATAAAAACACACCACCAAACACTCGTATGCACGGCCACTATTGACTATTTAAATGTAACTCTTACTCATATATTAGAACTAGATTCCTATCTTAACCTCTAGAACTAAAAATTTGAAATTACAATTCCACGATAACAAAAATTATTGTGGTTGAAATCTATATTAAAGAAAGTTGGCTTTAAGTCTAAGGGGCCGATGAAGTAAAGATAACAATGCCCATAATCCAAATTAGCATGGCAGAACCAAGAACGTTGAAATTGATAGACAATTTATCATAGAAAAGTTGCATGTTGATTTGATTTGTATTCATTTCAGAAAGACTAGGGATCTGCCTGCATACATATTGACAAAGGGAGTATCTAGGACATTTTCCATTCAAGTCTTACTGTCTTAGAAAGTTGGACACGAGTAATAACTTTGCACTAGCTTGACTGGGAATGTTAGAAGTGTGAGAGTTTTATCTTCATTATGTAATGGAGAGTAATTTTGTTCTCTGAGAAATTACATGTGTTAATACAAGTTAATGAAGAAGAGAATTAGATTTCTCTTCTCTGATACAGCAACATACTTGTCTTTCTCACTTTCCTGTTTTTTCTTTTCTAGCCTTTGATTATTTATTTTATTATTTACAAATTGAACTCACGAAAGCTTTGGAATCCTGATAATGAACAATATAAGAAAGGCAATGCAAGGAAAATATTGCAAATGGCAACATAACCCACCTTTTTTCTTAAACGGCTTTTTCTTGCAGCTTCACGATTTTGAGCAAGCCTCCGAAGCATCTGCAGAATGAGAATTCAATAAGAAAAATGAAACTGACCAAGTCCATGAGATGTGCATCCACAATTAATGCAGATCATGAACCTTTTGATCTCTGGACTTTTCGCTGCCATCATAATCCGCAATCGCCAGTGACCCATTACTATGAAACTGCATATACAAATGCTGACCATCATCAGTAAATACTAAGGACCTGAGGTCCAGAGTGATGCAACTAAAAGTCGACAAGGGGTAGGACACAACACTCTCACATTCTTATCTTCAGTATCTGCATCAGTCGAAGTATCAGTTCTAGGACTGCCATCCGCCATTGTGAATTCCCAACAACTCTCAAGTAGACAGACTGAAACCAGATTTGGTTGTTGAAAGATTTGGGTGTTGATTCTTATGTGATAGCAACAAATGCTTAATTGTATGGTATTTTACACCAGATAAAGTTGCCAATTGACTCTGCAAAGACATCTAAGAATTTAACTTAGCAGTAACAAAAACAAAGAATGATGACATAACTGACTGACCAAAAAGCATAAAAACTTGGAATGGAAAGGTCTTATAAGAAATGAGAGCCCACCTCATAAAGAGTATCCAAACGGGTAGATCAGAATCAATTGGCTGGCACTTGACTTTGTTAAATGTAGAGCAGGATCTTCATTAAAGGAATGACACAGAGAAAAAAACTAAAGTCATCATTTCATTGAACAAACATATCTAGGGCAAGTCACTCAATTACTGCATTGTGTTCAGAAATTCACAGTATATATTCTCAATGGTAAAAAGCAAAAGCTATACAATTTAGATCTAACTCATTCTTATCTTAATTCTAACAATTCACATCACAATATCACCAAATAAAAAAATACCAGATATACAGATACACATATATCATAATCATTCATAATCCAATAATCAATGACTGCTAAAATTTTTATTTTCAAAAATATTTCACTTCGGAATCCTAATTTTCATTCAATTTCAAAGAGCGCTAATTACATAATCCTATTTTTCATCAAATTACTTTCATATAACAAGTTTATTTCATTTGTATATAATTTCATAATCGTGTCCAAAATTATATTTATATCGGTGTCCTATGTTCGTGTAGTGATTGTAACCCTTTTATTATATATCTTTGACCCTCATCTCTCTAATATTACAAACAAAACTCTCCAATTTATTAAGTTATTTAACAAGATTTAAAAATTTTGAAAAAAAAAACCAAAACATATCCTCTGTTGTGTCGGTCGCATGTCCCCTAACGTGTCATGAGCGTGTTGGTCACGTGTCCCTCAATATGTTTAGAAAAAATATAACAATAAAAAAACCAGACACTCGTTTTAGCATGTTCGAGCGTGTCCAAAGCATGTTTGTGTCTCAGATGTGTTTGACACCAACACTCTGGCCAAAATTAAGTGTCCATGCTTCCTAGCTAATTATCATGATGATCTCTTTCAGCTTCGCTAGCTCATCCAATAATTATCTTTACTTTCTACACATTTATCTGTTCCTAAAATCAGTCTTGCTAGTGGAGGTAATTCTGTATGTGGTTACTCAACCTTCTTCGTCATCTTGGATCATTAATTATGGAATTAGTGCTCATATATCTAGTATTTATTCTCTATTCTCTAATTTTCATTTGTCTAACTCACGTATTGTGTTAGCTGACTACTTAGTCTATGTCAATAACCTCTAATTTGTTTGTTCTTAATTTTTCATTTAACTTGAGTGAGTCAATTAACTGAGTCCTTATAGCGTTCAACAACGTTCTCTACATCTTTTTTGTATTTTTTAGGACCTCAAGACGAAGAAAGGGATTGGTTTGGGACATGAGAATAATGGCATTTACTACTTAGATTCTAGTGGTTCTATTCCTGCCTTGAGTGTTACCGTGTCTCCTCCTCAACGACACTTCCAACTAGGTCATCTTTCCTTGCAAAAGTTGTGTTCGAATATGTGGTTTGTCAATTAAGCAAACATCACTGTAGTTTTTTTCCTCCTAGTTCTTCAAGTCATCAGTCTAGTCCTTTCCATGTCGTTCATAAAGGCATTTAGGGTCCTACGAGAGTCAAAAGTATTTCTGATTTTCAGTATTTTATAATTTTTGTTGATGATTTATCTCATATGACTTGGTTATTTCTTATGAAAGACATATGAATTGCTTAAAGTCTTTAAAACTTTTTATAATGAAATTTTGGTTCATTTTGATATGCAAATTAAAGTTTTTCGGTCTGACAATGCTCGTGAGTATACTCAATTGTTTATGAAAACTTTTTGTGCTGACAATGACATTATCCACCAAACTACTTGTCATCTGCATACCTCCTAACAAAATGCTATTGTCGAACGTAAATACGTCAATTATTGGATGTTGTCAACATTACATAATGCCATATTGGACTGATGTTGCGCTTACTGCAGTTTATCTTATTAATCACATACCTTACCCCATTTTGGACAATAAGTCTCCTTTTTTATTGCTCTATCCTGATAAACCTTCATTTGGTCTCACTCTTTGTGTCTTTGATTGTATTGCATTTGTTCATCTTTTTTGTCCTGGACGGGATAAACTTTTTCCTCGCTCGGTCAAGTATTTATTTTTTGGAATATTCTCATACTTATAAAAGTTATCACTACTATGACCCTATTTCTAGCCGATACTATGTCAAGGCTGATGTTATCTTTTTTGAGTCATCTTCCTTCTTTTTCGTTACAAAATACTCTTACCCCAGGTTTAGCCTTTCCCAATCAATGAAAACTCTTGTTGCCTATTGTACCAGATTGTGAATTTTCTTCCTCCCTGATTACTACTTCTCTCTTGTAGGTTTATTGGCATTCCAAGAACAGATAGGTTATTCCATATGCTCTAGCTCCAGAGCCAGCACCTAATTTTACTAAAGTCCTGCCCTCTAAGCTGTCAACTAGTTCATCCTCATCTGATTTGCCTATTGTATTGAGAAAAGGTACTCGTACCTGTAATAAACATCTTATTTCTAATTTTATTTCTTTACATTAGTTTTTTTTATCCTTTCGTTATTTTGCATCAACTCTATATTTTGGGTTTGTTTCTAGCTCCTTAAATAGGCATTGACATCTCTTAGTTGAAAATTGACTATAAATGAGGATATGAAAGCCATTTATGAGAATTGGATATAGGACCTTACTTCTCTTCCTTCTAGTAAGCAACCAGTCAATTGTTGTTGGGTCTACATAGTTAAATATCATCCTAATGGTTCAATTGAGTGTTCGAAGGCACACTTGGTTGCCAAAGGTAACACTCAGACATATAGTGTGCATTACTATGAAACTTTTTCCTCTGTTACCCATCTTAACTCTGTTAAAATTCTTATTTCTGTTGCGTTCACATCAACTGGACATCATTAACGTTTTTTTACATTGAGACCTACTAGAGGAGGAATATATAGTACAACCTCCAAGTTGGTAAGGAAGAATTAGTGTGTCGTCTAAAGAAAGCACTATATGGCCTGAAACAATCACCACGTGATTGGCTTGATAAGTTCAATATTGATGTACTTGGTATGGTTTTCAGTGTTCTACGTTGGACCATTCAATTTTTATTCGTTGTTCTTCCACAAGTGTTATTATTCTTATTATGTATGTTGATGACATTATCATTAGTAGTAATGATTCAAATGATATTGTCCACTTCAAAGTCCATTGAGGAAAGCAGTTTCATACCAACGATTTAGGTATTTTTTGATATTTTCTTGAAATCGAGGTTGTTTGGTCAAAAGAAGGCATTAATTTTTTCCAGCAGAAAGTGCACATTGGATTTATTACCTGAGACTAGGTGCATATCTAACTGATACTCTTATGGACTCTACAGTTAAATTAGATGTTGAGAGTAGTAAATTTATTGATGATGTAGGGCACTGTCGAAGGTTGGTTGATAAGCTGATTTATCTACAGTTACACGTCCTGATATTACCTATGTTGTTAGTGTAACCTCATTGGGAGATCATCTGTCGTATTCTTCGATATCTGAAAGGAGTATCATGGATTTGTCAAATGCTTAGTAAAGAATCCGTTAAAAAACATAGGTCAAAAGGATATAATTATTTCCACATCAGCTTAGTTCAAGTCGCAGTTAAACCATTAACAACTCAAGGAATTTATGATTATTATATCGCCCTTCATCATTCATGATTGTTACTGGCTTCTCCGATGCTAACCGGATAGGTAGTCATATTGACAAAAGATCTAACTCAGGTTACTGTACATTTATTGGTGGTAATCTTGTTACTTAGCATAGCAAAAGAAGCAAAATGTGGTTTCCCATTCGAGTGAAAAGACTGAATACAGGGCTATGACTCAAATTGTGTGTGAGATGTTGTGGGTTCGTTCTCTCCTTCATGATACGGGTAACAATGTGTCTTGTCCTATGGAGATGCATTGTAATGGCCAGACAACTATTTTCATCGCCAGTAATCTGATATTTTATGAGAGAACCAAACACATCAAATTAGATTATTATTTTGTTCGAGATCTCTTGATGCGTAACAAAATTATCACACCATACATTAAGTCTAGTAATCAATTGAGTGATATCCTTCCCAAACCATTAACTCGATCTGTCTTTAATAATATTCGCTCTAAGTTAGGTTTCTTTGATCTATATGCTCCAACTTAAGGAAAGTGTTAGAATTCTTATTTTATATTTTGAGTAGTGAAGGGTAGTATTGTAATTCTCATAATACCAGTTTAGTCTAAATAAGAGAGTGTAGGGCAACATAGCCCACACAGAGATTATTCTCATCTTCTCTTATTCTTTTCTTTTTCTGTTATCTTCTTCTCTCCTTTTAACAAAATATTGTAGCTTTTACGTCATATTATTAACACCGGATAGTCCTTGATCTTTGGTTAGTTTCTCAAACTAATCTCACCTTGTGCTTATTGAATATCTTCATTGTCCTAATAATGATATACATCTGTTTCCATGTAGCATTTAGGGAGAAATTTAGTTTCTTGGAACTTATTACTTAAATTTGTATTATTAGACAAGTTCTTGGATCACTCTAGCTATTTCCAACAAAAAAGGGCAGAAAGGAACTCCATGGTTTTGATTTTTTTTGTTTGCTTGTAGGTCTAGAGACTAATGGAAATACTTGGTAGTCTCCCTCGAGCAAACTCTCCGGCCATTGACGAAGACATCTAAAGCATTAAAACGGGAAGATATGAATTTTGAGGAGGAGCCGCCTCACAGCTAAGCACACATTGTTAGAGCAAGTTGTTCATTATATTTACTGTGTATCTTTCAATTTCAAGTCACCATGTAGTGAGGATTGCTAGGTATTGTTCTGTGCACAACCCATTTGGTTTTTGTCATGAAAATGCCAAAGGGGAGATTATTAGGTCTAACAGTCTAAGACCTTAGATTGAAAGTATCATGACTCACTATAACTAATTTAGGTGTCTTGAAGACGACATTATTTGGAAGAGCGAGTGTGAGACTCAAAAGACCTCAAGACTAACAGAACGACACTTAAAACTCATGAAAATGATCTTCCAAGTCAAGGCGAGGAAGATTTCAATACTTGAAAAACTTCAAAACTAGTAGGCCAAGTGTCCATTGAGAAACAAAATCAGTTATTAAACAAAAGACCAAGATGGTCGGTTTGCTATGAAAGAAGATAGGAATTGCAGCAATCAGAACAGATTCGGTTGACTGGAACTTACCAACCAACAGGACTCGGTCGACTAGAACTCCTCCAGTTGACTGGATTAGGCATAACTTCAAAAATTTGCCCATTGGACTAGCAATTAAAATTGCATCTATCTATACTCTTCCATCTTATCAAATGAAATTTGACATCTGAGGGGTTTCTCTCCTCCCATATTCACCTCTACACACTTTAGGAGAGAAAAAAATAACAAACTTCCAGTTATTTTTTCCATCCAACAAGGAGATTGAGCTTGGATTTTTAAAATAACATTTCTAGCCTCTAGCATTCATTGTGAGCACACAAACTTCTTTCTATTTATACTTGGTGTGCTCATTTCATTGTTTTACCACTCACTTTGTACTATAGATACTCCAGAGTATCCACGTTTCATAGCTAACGTAAAAGCTGAAAAATGACCCTGCTACCATATGAGCATGAAACCCTAGCTCACCTTTTCCATCATTTTCCCCAACTACATATGCCATTGTGCACAAAAAATCCACATTCATTTGCCAACTAACCACTCGCTCTGTAACCTCATCTATTGAATCACCACTAAATTTTACATTATTGAATCAATTCTCAACATAACAACACCAGGTATCACATTCTTTGACAGATATAGACGGAATCATTCCTTCAACACTTCTCTAAGATTTCAAGTTCTGGGATGCATATAGACAGAATCATGCCTCCACCTTTTTTGACATGGTCTAAGAGATGGCCAGAAAAATGTCCTATTATTCAGAAACCCATCCTATCCTATGTTAATTCTATACTGCAATGCCACTTTGGACTACATCTTCTTTCCTATGGCACCTCTATGAAGAAAATATCTAATCAGAGGGAAAATACATTCAAACACTTTTTCCACCATTAAAATTTCTAACATTAACATTGTAATGCAAATTTTAATAAAATGGAAAAAAAAAAAAAGAAAAGAGGTCCTTAGTTTTAATTTTTAAGACTACTTAGAAGATGCAAAAAAAAAATCCTATTTCCTAGCTAAGCTGTCTATGCAATTTCAAACTTTCATATCTATTTCTTGCAAACTTAATATTTGTTACAGTAGTCCATGATAGTCTTAATTAATAAATAAATTCCTTGTCGCAAGACAACTATAAAAATCCATCGAACATGGTTTTCATTTCACTAAACAGTTGTCTTTATTTTTGGTGGGTGGAACAGTAAATTTCTTCTTCAAAAATTTCTCAGATCAAGCAAACACGTGGACTGCAATAATAGCATAGACCTAGACACTGCATCTCAATAGCAGCACCTATCAAAAAAATAAAAGAAAATTTGAGAAAATTTTGATCTTAGATCAAGCAAACACATGGACAACGATAATAGCATAAACCAAGTCATTTAAGACCAAATTGCAAGTGTATATCTATGGCACCTATCAAAAAAAGAAAAAAATAAAATAAAACATTCAGCAAAATTTGATCTTAGATCAAGCAAATACATGGACAACAATAATAGCATAGATTTCCCAATAAATTTAAGAACAAATTGCCAGTGTATATCTATAGCACCTATAAAACAAACGAATAGATACATTCAGAGAAAATTGATCATATCACAATCCACAAGTAACTACACATCTCAAACGGGTTTTCAACGTAACAAAACCCAAATCAAACTTGAGCTCCAATTGCACCAAAACCCATTTCATTTTCACTATATTTCCAAGAAACATCTGTTAAAACAAACAAAGATAAAAACAAAATCTGCACATTAAATCCCCAAATCATATATATAGAAGTGGGTCAAAAGGAACTCAAAAGACTTACAGTGAATGATGACAATAGAGTTGTGAAGAAACAGAGTCGACGCACCAGAAAGTCCACTGCCTTAAAATTTTTACCGCTCCCAACAACAACAAAGCTTCCAATTTTTCGCAGTCTTGTATAACCGTAGTACAAGCGCTCAAAGCCAATTTTGACTTCTAGTTTAGCATGTTTCTGTTTAGATCCGAATTGAGGCACCCATACAAACACAACCCGAATAAGGGTTGTTAGCTTATTATTTGAATTTAAAGGATGAAAGACTACCGTATGATTTTTTTACTGTGAGCAAAAATTACCAGTAATTTCACTATTTTTTTTCTTTTTAGTTTAGCGGTTAGGCGTGTCTGAATCGATGTAATGTATACCTCGACTAATTTTCTTATTGGTCTAGGCCAAACAGTGACCTAGATCTAAAAGACTGTCAAGATTTTAACTCAAAACGTCTAAATTTACGACTCATCCGTGTTATCACTTGAATTATCCCTTGGGATTAATTCCGCTATCTTCCTTATGCTGAAGTTTGTTTTCAAACGTAAAACACAAATTTCACAAGTTTTTAATTCATGATTGTTCAGGATTATCAAGTGGACAGGATAGTGGAGAACATCAAGCAATGTTAAGATTTTTGAGTATATAATCAAGTAAAACACATATAAAAGTTAGTCCAAAATTTGAAATTGCTCTGGTGTATAATGTTGTATAATTAATTAATTATCCTTCTTTTTTTTGCTTTTGAGGTTATATTCAAGTTTTCCATATGTTTTTTTATAAAACTTACCATAAGTCAACCTACCCACCTCAATTTTCAATCATTTTTACCAACATTGGGCAAAGGTTTTATCGGTAAATGCCACACTTTTAAATTTATAGAAGAGGGTTTTCCTTATTGAAAATGACAAACTTAACCACCGCGTCAAAGTATAAGTAACTAGAGATTTTTTTTTATCAAAAATAATAGCCTATGATCTATTTCATCCTCTTTTCAATTTTCATTAACTTCAATCAATATCAATTATGTACTATTAAATTAATCGACAGTGATAACTTAAAAGAATTAATTCCCCCTCATTTCAATTTTTATTAACTTTGATAATATCAACTCTCTATTATTAAATTCATTGACAATAACAACTTAAAGATTAATTCTCCCCTCATTTCAATTTTTATTAAGTTCGATTAATACAAATTATCTGTTATTAAGTTAATTCATCGACGCAAAAAAAAAAATGTATCGTTGATCCCCATGTCATGTCCTGCTAATGAAAAATGGCCTTCTTTTATGGATGGTAGACCTCACGTAACATTGGAAGAAAGAAAAGATGAAGGAGTACTCCAGTAGAGTGGAGGAAGACTTATACATCAAGACGTATTGAGTTCAAAATTTAACAACTCTATTTGGATCAAATCATCGTAAAATTATCCCTTATAAATTTCGTAATTCAAACATAAATGATCTGTATTTAATCAAATTAAAAATAAAATTAATCGAGCTGCACATAAAATAACTCAAACACCCCTGACCGCGATACAAAAAAAAGTTGGGAAAAATGCTAATATGAATTGTTTTTTTATTAAAATCAAGAACAAGAATTGTTCAAAATTCGATTTTAGCAAGGTCACCATTTTGGGCGGAGACTTCGTTACTTTCACTTGCGAACAATTCAACATTTTCTCTCTCTACGTAACCCCCGTTAACCGTGTATAACCTTATTTTAATCATTTATGCCAATTAACGTGTCATTTTCAAATTTTGAAACAACACACTCAAAATTAAACATAACAAAAATGCCAACGTGAAGTCAAAATGGTATACAACTAGAAATGATAAAATTACATATTTTCGCAAGGGTAACACGGAATATTACGTAATTTAAAATAAAATCAACACAAATGATTTGACCATATTAAAGACCTATTACTGCACCTACGAGTAAGAATGATGTGATACCTGTTACTGATAGTAAACAAAAGACATAATAAAAACCTAACCTTAAAATAATTAGGACAAAAAACACTCAGTTGAGTTGAAAAACACCACCACCAAGGGCTATGCAAACTCCCACAACCCTCTTTCATTCACCAATACCCTCTGTGTTCTTGAAGAAACAAAGCCAAATTATTGTTTAGCACAACCACAAAACTCATGGTGGCTTGAGCATAATAAAGCAAATAGTCAAATAGCAGGCCACTACTTCAAACAAAAGAATTGAGAGAGAGAACAACAACTTCAATACAGAGTCCTCTTCTGTGCAATCAGAGCAAGCAACCACCACAAGCACATTCTCAACCTATACGCCAGGAAGTCGTATGGTAGACCTGTGGATGCAAATCAACAAAAGCTAGAAGCCCGTCTTGGCATCAACTCATTCTTAGTTCCTTTGCTAATGAAAGCTAACCGTCACACCCATGTATGAAGGATAAAATTTTGACAATTGCAATTGACAGAAATCATTGCAAAACTAACAGGTACAACCATGTCCAACATAGGGGTAGAGGAAATAAACTAGAGAGGATTATGTGAGGCAATAGATCAAGAAAGAGATATAAATAGATAATATTGGTTTCTAACAATAACTGCACCGCAACCACTGAAGAAAGAAAAGGGCAAGCAAAACCCAACAGACAATGGGAAGTATCCATACAAAACATCAAATCAAATTCAGGCAATAAACTAAGGTCTAATAAAGCTTTGTAACTCGCAATTTAATAGCTATGAGATCACGCATCTAGGTGAAGAAGAAAGAAAGCATCAAGTTTTGAGGTAGTCAATAACAGTAAAACATTCTGATTAAAACTACCTAAAATTCTGGAGAGACATGGTGCTCCATGAGGAAAACAAAACCAATACAATGTTAGAAACATTCACGGAATAAAAGTACTTGAATAGAAAGGAAAATACATGTTTAAAACTCTGGTCTTTGGATAAATAGTAACTTTTGGTTACAAATATAAGAAGTCATTTGCATGAGTGCCCAGAACTTCAGAGAATCACCAGAGTCCAAAACTAAAAGATTGATGATTTATGAAGGGATCTGCACATGGATAAGTAAAACATAAAAACCAAATTTCCAAAATTAGAGATTTACAGCAGAAAAACAATTACAAAATTGCTGCTGAAACTTCACAGCCTGGACAACATAAATACAAATGTAAAATAATAAGAGCTTATATTTTCTCCAACTAAATCAAGAAATTTGTGCCAAAACGAGATGCTATGAATCCATATAAATTCAGAATAAGGGCCACAAATGTCAGCTGCACAACAAACAGATAATGAACATGAAACTCAGATGGCATAACAGATAACTAGCCAAATAAAAAAAAAAAAGCAGCAGAATGAGCAATTCATAACACAAAATATTCTTACATAGTCCGAACAGAATCACTTGGAGTACAGATGGATGACAGAACAATTTACTTTCAAGGCAAGACACTCCATTATCAAGAATAAGGGACTGTAGATAATAACATGTCTTTCACAATTTTTTTTTGTTGGCTAAGTTCATCATATCATATACATAAGAATTATTGGATCCACATAAAACATCTAATGAGGAGCATACTAGATTAGCAAAACAGCAGACCCTTGGTCCAGTGCCCAAGGCTCTCGCCCCTACGCAAACTACTTCCGAATGCAGGGAGACTGTGCCAAAGCCCACCACTTGAAACCCTTGACACCCATTACAATAGAGCAACCTTACCACTATGCTAAGGCCCACCCTCGGCCAACCATTTCTCAAACAGCAAATTATCCACGACAACTATGTTAATCACCTATTGCACTTCTATGCATATGTCTATTAGAACTGCTTCTATAGAACAAATCTTGTAAAAGACTTTCCAATGGGTAACGAAACATATACCTGAGGTGCACACCGGACAGTGATAAAACACGGGCAAATGAGACAAGGACACTCAAATCAGTGGTTCATGGATCCAAGAAGTATAATAAAACTATAGAAATCTTATCAAACAAGATTTAAAATTACTAGGATGACTACAGAATCCATGGAAGCTTTGTGGAATGTCCACATCATGGTTTCACATACCCTGCGGCCAGTTAGTGCTGATGTTTTCTGATATTCCGTTGAAGCCAAGGTATACTCTCAATTTCGTCAAAGGCATCAGTTGTGGTGGTACCACATATGTTTCCTTTACTTAGTTGTCAAGGTTGGATGTGTAACTCAGCATTCAACTACGAGCTTGTTAAGATTAATAAAAGGGACTGTTGGTGGCTAGAGGACTATAGTGTTTACTAAAACATAATTGGAAGAGAATTAAAAAAGAGAAAGCTAAAATTCTAGAACTCCTTCATTCATACATACGGCATACCAAATCGGCCATATTGCATAGGATATATATAACCTACCAAATGTAACTTATAACCTTACAATTTGACAGCATGGAAGCCTTTTTACTTGTCCCAAAGCCTTCAAAATTCTCCGCAAACATAGAACCACAATTTCTTGGCATTATTCAACTCATTCTATAGCTTCTAGGGATAAATAAACAAAAGTTAAGAAAAAATAATCAATAATCTCGTACACTTTCTACACATAATACACTGGTGGATATAAACACAAGCATCTGGTCGCCTTCTTTGAATCACATTATTTGTCTTCCTATGAGTCATAGTTCATGCACAAACTTGCACCTTTGTAGGCCCTTTAGCCTTCTAGATCATCAAAGATGGTTTGCAAATGGAGGATGGGTCATCGACTAACAAAATGAAAGGAAGAATTACACAAAAAGGTCTCCAAGGAATCAAGAGTCCAAACCCTTCAAAAACAAGGAACAAAATTTCATAGTTCCCCTAACATTCATATTTCTTGAAAAATGAAAGTTCCACCCAGACTGAGAAGAGGAAAAACATACAATCCTAGCAATGGAACTAATATGAAACATGACAACCGATAAAGCCTAGGAAACAAGGATGAAAAAATATTTCACCTCTCCAAATATTCTCCCCAAAAGCGGACTTTTACCTCATTCCAATACTCAACCTAATATGACTCAAGAAATCAATGAAACCCTGATAAATAATTCCCTCGAAAAGACTTCCAACTCAATAGATCAGAGTCCTATCCATTAGATTGAATACAATACAGAGTGATATAAAGAATCTTGTTTCAAGTGAAACTTCCACAACCACTTTCCAACACTGAAATATTTTTCTTAACCAAATTTCCAACTACCAACCCTCCCTTTACTCTAGATCTTTCCACCACATCCCAACTAATCAAGCAATCCTTTTTACCTTCATCACTACTTCCACCAATTTCGCAACCTGTACATGAATCTTAAAAATGACAAAAAAATGAATGGGGATACTAGCCATGACAATATGCACAAGTGGAAACCTCCATGCCTTATATTAGATACTCCATCCACCCAATTTTGCACCAATCCTACAACTGGACCTTAAAATCTCACTGACAAAGGATTTCCCCATTAGGAAATCCAAATACTTCAATAGCCACTCTCCAATCACACAACCTAACCTATTTTCTAACCTAGCAAACATATCCCGATTTAAATTAGTTCCTTGTTAACTTGTTGTATCCCGAAATTAACCAAAAACCTCTGTAATATCCACGAAATTTGGAACTTTTGCTCATCACCTGCTATTTAGAAAATAGAGTCATCTACAAATTGTAAACATAACACTTCTGCTTTTTCTCAAGAAGATACAATCACTGGTCTTCATCACTAACCTAATCTGCACATCCACCCCTAATGTGAAAAAAAGAAAGGGAGACAATGGATCCCCTTTTAAACAACCTCTAATCCATCTATCCCGAACCCTTATACCTGAAAAATAAAATCTAAGAAGCTCCAGTCCACATGATCATCACCCTTTTCAAAATTTGTTTTAAAGACAATTCCTTCCTTAACTTTCGACCTATATTCATCCATAACTTAATTTACTACCAAAGCCACAGCTTAAATTTGTCTGCCCTACACAAAAGCACCCTGCAGTTTCAAAGTAGCATCACCCACACTTCTCAATCTCATGGATAGATTTGTCAGAATCTTGTAAAAACTAGTGACCAGACTTATGGGACAAAAATCGCTAACTTTCATGGATATTAACTTCTTCGAAAGCAAACAGATAAACAGCATTAGTGTTACATTTAACCTCACCCCTCTAGATAAACTCCTTAAAAAAACCCCACCATATCATATTAATAGTGTCCTCCCAACATTCTTGAAACAGAGACATAGAAAATTCATCCGACCTAAGAGACCACCCTCAAAACTGTAGCTCTCACCTGCCACTCTACGAAAAGCCTTTCCGACCATCATGTGATTCACTAACAGACACCTATCTTAACCTATTATCTTTGGTCTCTCAAAAATTGGTGTATTGCAGAGATTCTCAAAAGAAACTAGTCATTTATTTCTAACTACATCCCCATTATTCAACTTTTAAGAGTATTTTACCTTCTTCCATAGGCCAAAGATGAAACAATCGTATTATTGTCACATTCTCTAACTCATCTAACCTTAGCCTATGTCTACAACATATCTCTTCTTTAAACACCACTTCTTCAAACTTATTTCTAAGCTTATTGCTTTCCTTCCTTAATTGTTCTCCACCTTCTGTATCTCCTTGATCCTATTAGAAATTTTACTTTTTTAAATTCTTAAATCTCTAAAAGCCACTTTGAACCAAAGCTTAACTTTTGGATCGCATGTTCCCACTTCTTCATAAACTTGAATCACTCCCAACCTTCTGGGTTACTTTCTTGCAACCATAGTTATCAAATCGTGTATCGGAAGGCGTATCGTATTGTGTATCGTGTCGTAAGATACGGTGCAATTTTAAATAAATAATAAAAAAATATATATACTTTTGAAAAAAAATCATACACTCATAAAAATATAGCATTTCATTCATACTTCACCACCTATTCAAGTCATCAACATAGTTCGCTAATATTATAATGCAAAGTTTACAACCATAGTTTACTAATTCAAACTTCAAACACCAAAGAGACTTTTAATCCAAATTTCTAACATTCATTTTGAACTCAATCCATAAAATTAATCAAGATTCAGAAATTTTTATACAAAAAAAAAAATTAGTGTCTTATTTAGAAAAAACGACGTAGTTTCAGAAAAGAAAAAAAAAAGAAAAGGTTTTACACGTATCGTAAAAACGTATCGTGTATCGGACAATACGGTGCAAAAATGATACATAACTACGATCCGTATCGTTTTATCGACGTATCGTACAATACTAACAACTATGCTTGCAACTACCACTAGAAATGACCCTTGAACAAGTAATGCTCCAACCACATACTTTCAAACCTAAAAGGTGTTGGACCACACGAAATGAACTGGAATCAGGCATCATGGCATAATAGTCAAACACAAACTAACAAAACCCAATTAAATTTTACCAAGTAAACCTACCATTTACTCTTAATACAATGTGTGACAAAGAGTCATATTCCCATAGAAACGTCCACAACCACTTTCCTGATAGAGCTATGTTTCTCTCTTTCCTAATAGAGCTATGTTTCTCTTACTTAACCAAGACCCCACTAGCAATCCTTCCTTCAATTTGCATCTAAAGACTACCTCTTAACTACTTAAACAATACCTCTCAACTACCTAAATGATTTTTTCCCTTTACCACTTCTTTCCATAAAAAAGTATCTCATCATCATCTCAACTCTTTTTGCAACCCACATCAACATATTAAAAAGATACAAAACTAAAGGACCTCTCTACAACAGACTACATTGAAGTAAGGTCTTCCACTCTTTGATAAACAATTCTTTTTCCATCCATTCAATTTTTTTTTGCACCTTCTCTAAAGTTGTGTTCAAAAAATCCAAAGATAGAGGATTTCAAAACCAGGAGGATTCCAACCCATCCCCCTGGCCCCCCAAATGGAAGCCTAACACTAGAAACATTAACCTTTAAACCCAAAATGAAACAAAATAACTCGATAATGCCTTAAATTTTAAAACTTTTACTCGTCACTTAACGGAAAGAAATCTTGTCATCCGCAAACATAAATGAGAAACCCCAACTTCTTCCATCTCAATCGACCTCCCTGGATTAAATTACACTCTCCCAATCTCTCACTAGCCTATTTAATCCATCAACAAGAAAGTAACCAAAAAAAACAATGGATCCCCTGTTTGTGTTCCATAGATGCATTACATTTTCCTCCCTACCTACCACTAAAGATAACTAAAATATTCATTGAACTTAAGCATCCCTTCATCCGCCAACTCTATCTACACTTAAAACCTTTAATCCAAGAATAAAAGTCTAAAAACCCCCAATTCACATGATCATATATTCTTTCAAAATCAATCTCAAAAACAATCCATTCCTTGCCATTCACCGTATACTCCTCAACATCTTCGTTTGCCACTAGAGCAATATGTAGTTATATGTCTTCCATTCACAAAAGCTCCCAGATATTTCAAACTTTTATTACCCAAAACTTCTCTTAGCCATATGGACAAAAGTTTCGCTAAAATCTTGGTCTGATTAGAAACCAAACTTATGATTCTGCAATAATTAATGTCCAACAAACAATGCTTTTTCGAAGTCAAACAATTGTAACCTGTATTGGTATTCACATTAACCACTCAGTTATCACAAACCCCATGAGTGCCTTGATTAAATCACCCTCATAATATCCCAACAATCTTGAAACACTGTCATAGAAAAACAATCTAACACAAGAGAGCTACCTTTATTGCACTCAAAAAACTACTACTCTCATTCTCAGCTCACTCTCCTTAAAAGGTCTTTCTAACTAACTTGTTTGACGTTCACTAATAAGACCCCAATCTAACCCCTCCGTGCGATCATCCTTAATAACTAAACCTTCACCAAGTTCGAATTTATGTAAGTTCTTCATTGTTGTCAGCCTATGAGATAAGTTAGAATTGTTAGCTCTTTTTTAACCCATTTAACCTTACCCTTTTGCGTCCAAAAAGTCTCTTCTATAAACATCACCTCCTCAAATTCAGTTCTGAGATCCACACTTTCTTTTCTCAATGCTCCTTCAAGCCCCCTCACCCCCTATAATATCTAACTCCACTATACGACTGGAAATAATGCTCTTTTGAATGCTAACGGCTCCAAATACCTCTCTATACTAAACCTTTAACTAACATCACAAAGCAATTAACATAAGCTCATTAAAAATCATACCTAATACCTTTCACTCAGCTAGCGACCCTGACCCATGTACGGAGCACCACCCTGCTGTGGACGGCCCCTGCCCTGCCCCATATGTTGATTGTGGTACCCACCCTGCACCCCCGGCTGACTCCCATAACCACCTCCACCCTGATTTCCGTAACCTCCACCCAGATTTCCATACGCTGCAACATTGTTCACTACAGGCGGCACTCCCTGGTTCATCGGCGCACTAAGTCCTCCAAGCATATTCGTAAGCCCCAATCCAGCTCCCTGAGTCGCAAGAAAGGCAGTAAATGCCTGTCCCAAAGCCGGAGCCAACGCAGGCGCTGCCACCGCTGGGTTGAAACCGACTACAGCAGGAGCCGATGGCGCCATCAGATGCCCAGATCCGGCCCCACTACCGCCCAAATACTTCCCCTTTTTTGTGCCGTGATGATGGTAATGACCATGCTGCTGCTGGTATTGCTGCTGATGATGATAGTTATGTTTATTAGGTTTTTGCCCATCAACGGCCTGTTGAACATGCAATGTATGCCCATCAAAATTCTTATGTGGCTCTACTAAAGCCTTTCTAGCACTCTCAATTGTCCTATACACAAACAATGCAAACCCTTTAGGCTTCCCAGTTTGCTTATCCAAACCCAAAGGCCCATCCTCAATCTCCCCATATTCTGAAAAGAATTCTAATAGCTTTTGCGGATCCATATCCGCAGAAACATTGCTCACAAAAATCTTCCTCTGGGTATACTCCGAAACCTGAGGCCCTGTCGTCGGCGCTGGCGCCGGGACTGGTCCGGCAGACGCCAGCTGGCACGAGGTCATTCGATTCCCAATCTGTTTCTGGGGCTGCCTGAGGGCCTTCCGGGCACCACTCCGGTGTTTAAAGAGAATAAATCCATACCCTTTAGATTTTCCGGAGACCTTGTCGGTGACTGCTTTGCAATCCTCGATCTCGCCATATTTTCCGAACACCGAAATTAGGGTTTCGGCATTGGTATCCCAGCCAAAGCCGTGCACGAAGATCTTCCGGTGAGCCGGGTCCAAATCGGCCAACTTCTCTATGCTTTCAACGAATTCCGGGTACTTTGTAACGGTTTCTTTGAGTAAAACCACCAATTGATCTTTCGAAAAGGGTTCCAGAAGCCTCTCCACAGGCTCTTCCACCACTTCTTCCTCTTCCTCCTCTTCTTCTCTGCCGCTATCTTCTTCTCGTTCGCCATCACCGTTAGCTTCGGATTGTGGGGCTTGTTCTGCTAATACGCCGTCGTTTAAGGAGGTGTTTGCATCATCTGGTTCCTCTTGATCGGGGTTTTCTTCATCATTCCCGCCCTCCTCCATGTTTTCTGGCTCTTTTTCTTCGATGGGTTGTTCTTGTTCGTGGTCTACATGATGAGTTTGGGGTTCTAATTCCTCATCTATTTGTTGAGGTTCTTGGTCTTGTGGTGATTGTTCCTGCGGTTGAGCCTGGTCAGCTTCTTGTTGAGGCTCAGAAGACCGGACCTTTCGCTTCTTAGCCATGGAGGACGGAACGAATTGCAGGGTTGATCAGGGATTGTTCGGAAACTAGGGTTACAAATAGCCGCAGGACGACAAAAAATGGTCCGACGAATTGCAAGGTTTTCCTTCTTTGATTCCATCCTTCATTCCTTCCTTTTACGTCCGATGAATTACGGTTTGACCCCTTTAACTATGGGCTTAATTTTACTTTACCCTTTAAACTATTGAATTTTTCACATCCTTTCTTCAATTACTTGAATTATTTTGCAAATGTCTGTTTATTTTTTGGACGAAAATTGTCATCATGTCAAAACAAAATAGAAAAAATCATAGAGTTTGAAGGACAAAATACCCTCGAGTTCTAAAATCAATCACTGTAACTTGAATTAATTTTAAAAAATGTCCTTTTAAAGAGTGTAGGAAATATTAAACCTCAAGTTTGAAACAAAAGAAACGAGATTTTAATTTCTAAAATACTAATTAAAAGATCTATGCTAATAATGTCACTATAATTGAATAGTGATGCACATTGACATAGGTAGAAGTTATTTTTAACGTGTAGAATGATACACAAATTAATTTTTAATCTCAAAATCTAAGTTGATACGTATACGACAATTCGTTTCAAATTTCTCACAAAGAGGCCTATTATCATTGACGCCCAAAAACTTGTGCAAAAGGAAGGCATCGAGGCAGTAGAAATTAATGTTAAGACGCTATAAAAAGAAAAAAAAAACTGCTTGGAATCAAAGAAGGAAAGACCATGGTGAGTTTTGGTAAGAGTTACAAAAATTTGATAAGTTCCTTAGCATGGGTAGGCCTAATAATGGTTTTGTAATTCATAATTGCTATCCCGATCAAGATTTCTTAACAAGTTTTTCATCTCTCAAGTGATGTGACGTAATTTTCACCATCAAATAAATATGTCTTATTAATTTACAATCTATTATTTTTGTTTTTTGATGAGATTTTGAAATTGTAATTTTTTTTTAATTTAAATTTTGCTAATATATTTTTTTAATTAATAATATGACTTTTGATCATAAATATTTATAGGAATAAAATTAATTTCTTTATTAATATTTTTATATTCTTTTTATTTGTTGTATATGTTCTTTATCGAAATTGTGGATTAAATGATTGAATTTATTATAAATAAATTCATTGTTATCTTTCTTTTGGATAATTTTATTATCTTTGAATTTTATTTATTTATTCATGAAACTTTCACCTAAATTTTTGTTATATTTTATTTGTTACGAATAAGCACTTTTTTTAATAAGAATAAATAGTTTAATTGATGTTTTGCGTTCAAATTGGGAAAAAAAATAAGTTTCAGAGAAGTAAATAATGTGTTTAGTTTGGATTTTTTTTTTTTTTGACTAAAGAGATATACTTATTACACTTCTTTTAATTGGAGAAAGAGATAGATTTTGTCAATATTTTTTTTATTAATCTTTTTTATCCTTTAATAAATATGATTGTGTGAAGAGATCTGAACTTTTGGGCCCAAATTTTTAATTTTTTTATTGGTTTATTCTCTCAACAATTAATTTTTTAGGCAATATTGTAATAAATTTTATTTTTTACCTTACATTATATTATTGATCTCTAAATTTGAGACTTTTTTTGTATACGAGGCCTAAAGCCCCCGCTCATTTGCACTGTAGTAACTCTCTTAGGCATATAACTCCAAAGAAAAGTTTAAGTGGTAATAAGAATGAACTGTAAATTCAAATATTTTGAGTTTAAATTTTGATAATTCCTTGAGATCAGGCTATAAGAAATTTATCCATTATAAATACCCTAATTTCAATATGAATGACTTATCTTTGACTAGATCAGAGAGAAATTAGTTAAAATGTACGTAAGTTATCTCAGATACTCTTACCTCGAGAAAAAAACCTCTCCTGATATACCACACCCACCAACAAACTCAGGAGAGCTATTATCAATCTAAAGTAAGGGAAGACCATTTCCTAAAAGAAAACTATAACTGAAGTACTATTGTCAGGATAAGGATACTGAATTAAAGACCAATTCATCACAAAATACCAGTGGCTCATCTGACATGATTGCGTGTTTGCGTGATAACTCACTACTCTTACAACAACAACGAATGCAAGGCTCCTAACCATGAAAAACAAAAAATCCAACGGGCAAGAAGGGGAACATGTTCAATATTTGAAATATTAACAAAATTAGTCTATCATTAAACCAACACATCAAATTCTCCCATTTGTTCCAGGTTCACAATGGCAGATGTAGGAAGAAAATATCCGAAGCAAGAAGATACTAACAGGAACAGACCAAACAACTGAAACAAGAGACAAAGCAAACAAACATACATCGAAGAGCAACACTACAAAGCATGCAAGAAGGAAAACAGACAAACAACCAACTAGAGCTACTAATACTGAATGAACACGTCCTAATAAGATATAGAAATCTCGTGAGACTAAACTTCCCTGTCTCCCTTTTTGGTTTTTTACTTTTCCAAGTTTTGGATAAGATTGCTTCTCACTTAGCCATCATGATCCTGACAAATTCCTCATAGTTGATCTGCCCATCGCCATCCACATCGGCCTCACGAATCATCTCATCAACTTCCTCATCTGTCAGTTTCTCACCGAGATTTGTCATAACATGACGAAGCTCAGCAGCAGAGATGAAGCCATTCTGGTCCTTGTCAAAAACCCGGAAAGCCTCCTTGAGCTCCTCTTCAGAGTCAGTGTCCTTCATTTTCCGAGCCATCAGGTTGAGGAACTCAGGAAAGTCAATTGTCCCATTCCCATCTGCATCAACCTCATTGATCATGTCCTGAAGCTCTGCCTCGGTAGGGTTCTGTCCCAATGATCGCATCACTGTCCCAAGCTCCTTAGTAGTGATGCAGCCTGCAGTGACATACTAAACTATTGCAGCATAAACTCATGACTTGATCAACATTTAGAAAAGATAAAGTGCATCCAGAAATGCAATAAAGCAAAAAACTGCATCACAAAAGGGAAAACCCATAAAATGGTCCAAAAGGAGGACAGAAAATCTGATGCAGTGAAATTGTTTTTAATAACAAATGAACAATCAAAGATAAATATACAGCTGCGAAGGTTGCATGCTAAAAAGCGCATTGATCCAAGTATTTAAACTTTTTTTTGGGTTCAAAAAGTATTAAAGCTGAGCAAGTCACTCTTTAAACAGGATACACCAGCACAGGAAAATCAAGAGAAAAAGGGAGATATCGTGTTTAGCCATGTCATACCATGTAAATGCAAGTTTGATAAAACCAAAATCAGTCCAGAATTGTCCAAAAAAAAAAATGTTTCTACTGAACACAGAACTAAAGCTATCATTGACTCCGATGTTGGATTTAGTTCTCCAGCCCAATGTATATTGAATTAGTCTTAATTTCTAAACACATGATTGATCATTTCACTTAAAGCTACCTACTTAGCAATACAAATATTATACCACATAGAAAACACCAACAATCAACCTACTAACAAAGTGTATTAATTGAAAGTATACAGAGAATAATGCGATAATCTATCAGGTGGTCCTCCAACAATGACAGCAGAAAGAACAAATAATTAAAGATCGCAATAATGAAGGGTAACAATGTCCATCTGCCAATAACAGAACAAAAAAAAAATCAAAGAATGTCAACAGCTTAATGAGGAAATACATAGATGAGCATAAGAAGGGATTAAAAATCGGTTGGCTTCATATGGGCACTCTAGCTGCCGGTGAAGTCCATCCAGACAATATAAAATTAGCCTAATATACAAACATCATGGTCAAATAATTTTGATGATGAAAATGGTATTATGCCATAAACAGCAAGGTGAAATTAATCCTGCATTGAATTCTCACGGATTAACACTCTTAACATCTGTTGCCATCGACGAGTTGGCACCACAACATCAACAAGAATTCTGCATTGAAATCTGCCCAGGTCTCTCCAATGGAATCACTCAACAAATACATTTGAACATAGTTGGTTCCTCTTGAATTCACCATGAAGGATTTGAAAAAGAATTGTAATTGAAAAGGACAACAATAACATCAACACAGCTACATAATACAACAAGCCCTATGAGATTATATGACATTCATGGCCAGCAATACCACCAATCAAACTATTCATCTAAATCATCAGAACAATCCAAGAAACTACACCAGAATCCAACAACCAAAGTTTGTCCAATAAAGAGATCCGTTAGACAAAAATATTTTGAGAGAAAACTAACACTCCCTTGAGTCCCATTTATGGGATCTGGGAGGGATAGATTTTCTCATATGAAAATTACAAACAAATGATCAACGCTACAAAAATCACAAACTAATCCTCAGGCAAGACCCATCAAGTAAACCAATACCCACATGATTGGGTAAAATATAAACAAAAGAAAAATAGATCTGAATGTATGAAATTCCGAAACAGATTCAGAAATACACATAATATGTGTAACGATCAATAGAAATAGAGAAACATAATAACAGAACACAAAAGCCCAAAAATGGAGATCGGAAAGGGGTAAAAATTGACCATCGCCGTCCTTATCGAATAGGCTGAAAGCCTCCTTGAATTCGGAGATTTGATCGTCTGTCAGCAGTTCTGCCATTCCCTTAGCTTTGTGTGTGTGAGAGAGAGCGATTTTTTTGACAGACTAAGGAAAGAGGAAAATGAGCTTTATGTGTGCGTCAGCGGCGTATAATTTTTGGGTAAATTTAATACGGACCCCTGTTCTTTGGTCAAATGATACAATAATTCCCCGACATTTCAAAAATAATACAAAGTCCCCTGCAACATTTTGTAGGGCACCACATACATACATACCCCTTCCGTTTAATGGACATTAAAAGCCCTAACCAAAAGTGTTAATGTTGGTCCTAAAATCAGATATTTAAATATAAGTCTCCCTTCACCTAAAAAATTGACGGCCATGTTTTATGCTTAGTAATGATTTACGAGGTGTTACAGACTTTGACAGTTTGTTAGTGGCCATGAAGTTGATCTGGTGCAGGTGGAAGGTGGTGAGGTAGTGAAGTTCGCAGCCTCTGAGATGGTGAGGCGATAGAATTCGTGATCAAAGGAGGATGGTGATGGCTAGGTGTACAAAAATTGTGGTGGTGGTAGGTATAAAGGCGATGGTAGTAAAAAGAAGTGATCATATATGGGAGTGCGAGTTTGAGAGAGAGAGAGAGAGAGAGAGATGAGTGAGGGAGATGGTGGTTGGGTGAGGCACCAAGGGTGTTGGTTTTTTTAATTTTTTATTTATTTATTTGTTCATTTAATTTAACTGAAGTAAAGATGTGACCTAATTACAAGGGATTTGCATAAATTTTACCATTATGATACCGAACGGTTTTGATAATATAGTTTTGGTCTAATAAGAAGTGACATGGGTACAGCACAGTAATACAGTTATCTGATTTTATTGGTTTGTTTTATTATACAAATAAGTTAAATTAAGATTTACTATTATAAATTATTTTTGGCACAATACGGAATTTTTTTTTTTTTTTTTGGTTCATACATATAAATGTGGAATAAGGACTTGATGGTCCAGGGAGCATCTGATGCTCTTTCACCTGAGCACGTAATCTCTTTTTTCGCAAACCCCAACTTTCTCTCTCTTCATCAACTAGAGAGTGTCACAATCACTTCAATCCATTTGATCCTTAGCCCATTTCGAATTAGACATCCCATCAAGAAAGAAGGGGTAGAAATTGATTTTGCAAGCCAATCAATTGCAACGCTGGATTCTCTAGGTTAATACCGCGACTATAAAATAACTCCACTGTAAATCAACTATGTATACCCAACTGTTTTTAAACTCCACATTAGCAAAAATAATGGACCGTCCTTTTTTAATTACAGAATTTTAATAAATCTCTCTTCTTTTTTTTTCTTGCTGATCATAAAGGGGTGGAAATACCACCCTAATAGGCCCTATGTGATACCATCACTTTTTTCAAAAAACGAATCTAACTAGACTAACATAATTATCAACTATCGAACCCCAATATACACTCCAAGACTCAAATTTCCACCCTCAATATAAAAAATTCAACCGGTAGCCTACTGAATCACTCACTTGGTGATAATCTCTCTCTCTGGGCGTGTGCATGTTTCTCTAAAACTACTGTGAAAAATAAGGGGGGAAAAGGAGAAACCAAACAGCACATCAGGGGGCGGTTAGATGCTTATTCCAGCAAGGTTAACCACTAACAGTCATGAAGAAGGCAAGCATCATTCGACCCAACACCATGATCAAATCCAAAGAAAATTCTTTTTTGTTCTTTTCCCTTTTCATACATTTTATTCTTTTCACTCCTCCCCCATCACTCTAGAGAGGGGGAGAATAAACAAATTGCCTTGATAAACTGAAAAGGTCTTCCTCTTCAAAAGGAGAAGTCCATTCACGAGAACTACCAACAGCTGCTTCATTAGAAGCAATCCCATCCGGCAATCCCCTTACTGAAACACCATTTTTGTTGGAAAGAACCGGCCTCGTCGAGGCGCCAATGTTCTGCGAGGAATTATATGAAGCATATGTCCGAGACTCAGTGGTTTGCGTAAAAGAGCTAGTGCCTCGCAAATTCCCAGTTGGCCTTGGCATAGAAGGCCCACCATCTACACTCCAGTCTATATTGGTGTAATCTGACTGCGTCATTGAGCCACTGGTATTCCAGTCCACAGGAGATGATGACCACGATGAGCCATTTGATCCCGACCCAGAGAAAAGCCCAAGGGAGGAAGCGGCAGCGAGTGTTGAAGAAGCGCCTGTTCTTCTGTTCAACATATTACTCCCTCGACTTGTTCCCAGAGATTCCAATGAGCCGGTGCTTGACACAATTTGCTGCTGATGTAGATAATGAAGTTGGCTGAACAACTGATTAGTATTTGCGTTGTTTGGGGTAAGTTTTCTTGAGCTAGAAATTTGTGGCATCAAGCCATTGGCCTTCATTGTTTCAACAGGAGGATACCAACCAGCTGCTGTCCCAGAAGGAGATATGCTTACACACGTAGCGGGCATCTGCCTCGGATTAATGGACTGAGGTCGCTGCATAACTATAACTGGTTCTTTAACTGACCCCAGCTGAAGGTTCTTTAATTCATTTCCAACAGCCACATACCGCGTTTCTGTCATGGCTGGTGAAGGTGACACATGCAAAGGTGATGCCAAAGAATAGGAAACAGAAGGATTTGATCTTGAGCTTGGCCACCATTTCTCAGGCTGTCCTGCACTTTGTTGCGGTTTTTCCCATTCCAACTTCGGTTGAATCCTCTTCAAAGACTGCATCTTTTTGCTCCCAGAATCCACAGATGATCCCACCGTATCGACTATTTTTGTATAGTTGAAGTCTTTTTCATCATCTTTCAGTTGTCCAGTGTTAGATGAAGCTCGTTTTGTTTGTGCCCTAATCAAGTTCTGACTCATAGCTAGTGGAAGCTTACCATGACTGGCAGTGGGATCACCAGTTTCTTCTGGCTTAAATGGGGTAAAGGGAGGTTCCTGCTTCTGCACTCGTAAAGTTTCTTCTGCCTTCTCAAGATCACCCTCACAGGCAACTATAGCACGTTCAACCTCCTGCTTGGAGCACTTGTACATAATTTCCATGTCTGCTATCCGTGCAAGCTCCTTGGTTATGTCAATTTTCAAATTGTTCCGAGCATCAAGGTTATGTTCCCTTTGCTTATCTGTTTCTTCAACTCCTTCAAACAACCATGCTACCGATTCCTCTACTCTGCCTTCGTTCAGAATAAGAGCCATAGTGGCCCGTTCTGAAGAGAAACCCATTGCCACAAGTTGTTGGGCAAGTGCTTCTAGCTTTCTTGACATGAGATAGCCACTGCACCGCTCATGCAATTCTTGGGCTCGCTTCTCTTTTTGACGCTGATGCTTCCTCTCATTCTTTTGACGGATTTTTTCCCGTTTTCCATTATCAGCTCCGGGTACTGCCTCCAGACGAAGAGGGGGAGGAGACGTTTTCTCTTTGTGCTCTTCTGATTCGCCAGATAAACTACCATTGTTGGAAACAGAGTCATACTCAACACCATTTCCAAATGACTTCCCACTATGATTCTCTGTCTCATCTATGTTCTGGAAACGGCCATTACCATGAAGAGGTGGGGCAGAAGAGACTGATGATGTCTGAAGTGTAAGAAAGGTCCCCAAAATTGGGTTGTATCCACTTGCCGTAATACCACCACCTGCATTGGAATGGCCTAAAGGCTTCCCAGAAGCCTTATGGGGTTCCTTGCTAGCCTTCTTGTCCTTGAAATCAGATTGGAATGCTCGGGACATCTCTTCGACTTTGATTTCTTGAAGAATTCCTGCAGTTATCAGATAACACAATTTACTTTGAGTACTGAAAAAATGGGACAAGAGCAAATTAGGCACATCTACTGCCTTGTGTAACGTAATGACAATTATTTCTTTTATTCCCTGCAAATGACTTGGTTTGTTACAACAGCAGCACCAAGATGGGAAAGCAAATATCCTACAACGTAAACATATGATTATGCTTGTCATGTCGACAGACTTCCAACAAGGAAGTCTGTGTACAGGCGCGTCAGAGAGAGAGGGTAGTAAACAAATACGTTAATGAAAAAGAGATTTTCCTTCCTTTCCTACCTCCCCTTCAACTTTTTTAATCCTTTAATGCCCATATAATAGAGTACTCAATTCTCCTCTATACAAAATCATGCATTTAGGAACTTTAAAACTTTAAATGAGATTTCTCTCTGTAATTTTCTCAAACAATATAAATTTTTGGCAAAGTATTTTGTTAGATTTGCAATTCTTGAAACCTGTAAGAGAGCTTAAATTTCATATATGGATGGATTATCTCTCTCAGTTACTCAATCAGTCAACATTTTCTTTAGTTTCGTTCACTTTATTATGTTATGAAAGAGCGTAAGTATTTCCATCCCTTACTTATGATAAAGTTCTGAATAGCTCAACAATGTTTCATTGTAATAATTTTTACCAACACAGTAAATGGGTCCTCTTTCTATTGTGTATGTTGTTTTTGGGGGGGTTGAACGATCTACTATTTCATATGCTAGAACAAGTTCAAACAAAAAATTTTCATTCTATCATAATCTATCCATACTTGGTCGAGGAATAAAAAAGTCAAACATGTTCGTCACACGCATCAATCAAATTTGTATGTTTATAGCTTTAAATAATTATATTTTTGATAAAATAAAATATTTTGTTGGGATACTATATTGGCATTAGAGAAAGGAACAAATATGATCCTCATCTAAATCTGTAAAATTTCTATGTGATTTATGAACTTGTATATCCTAATGATAGTTTCCAGACAACGTTGGGGAGAAGGACTTGAACACTTTCCAAATACAATTGTTGACATGGCAACTAGAGCATTATTATGGCGATTATTTTCACAATAGTGTCAGATAGTGTATTACTTTGAAAAATAATGTTATTTTGGGCAACAACTCAACATTTTCAATACTGCCATATTAGAGTGTAGCATTGTCCGAGGCCACACTCTCATATGTAGACTGAGAATAAATGGGATAAATATATAAAACACAACCGATAAAAAGATTTGAAAGCTTGAGAAAGAATCTTATTTTCATTTT